TAAAAATATCATTCGCGCTCGATTTATATTATAAAATATCTGTACAAAAATTTTTATATAACACTTCCTGCAAAATACTTTCCTTAATAAATAGTCATGGACTATGCTGCAAATAAGATAAAGAATAATCAAAACAATAATCATGACGCAGATAAAACATGACACTTTTAGCTGGATCACCATCGTATCATAACAAGGAGGAATAATCCAGAAAATCCAACAAGAATCATGGAGGCAACTACTTCGATTGATGCAGCATTCTTTCTTCCATATATCGAATTTGAATTGTAGTTATATCCACGTTGATTCGGATAATTTTGATAAGGATAATTTTGATATCCTGGATACTGTGGATTTACTGGAGCTTGAGGATATCCAGAGTTTTGCGGATAACTCGGATAAGCTGATTGTCCTGGTGTAGGCATTCTGTTTTGCGTTGGATATGGCGGATATCCTAAATCCTGACGACCAGCTTGGTTGGTTGATTGTGGGTATCCGTGTCCAGAGGTACCGGTATTACTGGGATATGGTGGATATCCTAAGTTGCTTCCAGAAGAAGAACGGTGATGTTCGCTATCACTAGATGGATATGATGGCACTGCCGGCATTGGTGGAGCATTGGCATTCGCATATGGATTTGCGTTATTTTCACTGTTCACTCGCTGGCCGTTCACGTAAGACACGCCAGCTGATTCGTAGCCTGTAAGGATGCTCACTCACTTCGTACTGTGCATATTTTTGGCAAACACAAATGGAATATTAAATTATACGAAACATTGCAAGATGATAACGAGTTGCAATAAAGTTTTTTTATTGCTATATTAAATATTCGGAGATTATTTATTATTTCTTTTGCTCTTTGGATTGAGCAAAGATGATATATCAGGAAGTTTCTTCGTTCAAAAAAGAAATATTAAATTTAGAAAATACTAAGAATAAAATATTTCTTCCAGTGAAGCAAATTATTAATGTTCTAAGAACAATTTTATATATTTATGTTTAAATTAAAAGAAAAAATAGAACAATATATTGCTTTGTATAATAAGTTTATAGACAGACAATAAACACGTTAATATACATGTAAAGACTTATAGATAATAAGACATCATCAGATCTTATATGATTAGCATAAAAAAATATATATGTATGTAAATTTTTTCAGTAAAAAAGTAATCTTTATGTTTATCAAAATATCATCATTAAAACTGAAATATTTTATTTATGTGCATCGTTCAAAATTTTATATGAATACACGTGAGTTATATAAATTTATAAGAAATAGTAAATTAATTATAATAATAGAGTATAAATAATATATGTAAGTATATACATATAAATACAATAATATAATATACATTATAATAATGCTTGATAGTAATATAATATGTTACATTGAATAATATGTTAACAATAAATATTGTTTTTGTATGGGAATCTCATTTGAACAATAGTTAATAATTAAAATAAAAAATATATGTATACGTTTTAATGTAGAATTATGAATCATATATCTATGATTGCGCAATAAATGGAGAGAAATAAGTAGATATTTTTTCGCTTTTAAAGCAATCATGCCTTTCTCACTTCCCATACATGCTATAAAATACATTAAACCATAATTATGAAGATTTATTTTGCTCATAAGCGTGAAAAATTTGAAATTCCATAATCCCAAATAATTTATTTTACTTAATTTCAGCATGCTTTTTACTCATGCATAGTTACCGTCTTTCCGTTTTCATGCTCGCAATGTGTCGAATATTGAATGCCAATAAAATATAAAATTGTAATAACTTACCAAATCCTGTAGATTTTCTTACACATCTCGGTGCACCATTTTCGCTCTTACAGTATTCATTCTCTCCGCAAACCATACTAGTACAACTTATATCTGTAAAATTTTTTAAAAAATTATTAAGATATAATATAAATACACACTCTAATGTAAATAAATTCCGATATTAACATTGATATACTAAAACAATAAAGGAAAGAGTGTAGTAATTTTATCTTTAGCTTTTGAAATAAGAAAAATAACATATGCGTGCAGGCGTACATACGTAATATTATTGTATGACACGTGATGTACATATATATTCTTGATTTATAAGATCAATTGTTGAAATTGTTGAGATAAATTAGCTATTATGTCCTTACCACTTGTCCTCCGGCAAGTCGGATATCGTCCACATTTATCTGTATAGTCAGTACAAGGATCCTCGGCCATTACACATGTTTCATCAGTACGGCAGCCAATGTCCTTACAGGTTCTTCCATATTCTGAAAAATAAGAAAATGAAAACACATATTTTCTCTCTCTTTCTCGATATATTACATATTGTAATAAATTTTATTACTAAGAAATTTAATTATCGTTATTTACTTACTGTTATAAGATGCCGCATCCGGAATAAGGGCAATTATTAACAACGCCCCAGAAAAAAAATTAAACATAGCGCGCGAAAACATTCTGAAAACAAAATAGATTTCATAGATACAAAATAAAATGTTTATAATAACTCAGTAAACACAAATTACATGTAATATACCTATTAGTTATAATTTCCCACTCAACACTGTAATACACGTGTGAGAAATTAGAATTAACAAAGGTACGTTATACGTAACTTTGTGTTTATTGGGAATCGAAGAAAGATAGAAGAAGTAGAAGAAGAAGCCGCTAATATATTTAGCCAATTATCAAAATTATTCTTTATCAAAATTTTGTATAGTTTTTAAAGTCCTCTTTAAAAATTATTTAAGAAAAATTTCTTTGAGTGTCAATTATACAGTAGATGATTAAAGATTTCTATTAGGATATTTTAAGAAGATCGAGATTAATACCCGTATTCATAATCAGACCTTGTACTTAAGGTTTCCTTAAATTTATCTTTAGATGCTCGGCAGCCAATGAAATAATTTGTAGAGACCTAAACATAAATTTAAAGAAGCCTTAAATATAAGGCCTGACTATGAATACGAGTATACGTCGCATCGCCTATATTTTATACATACTCGCCATTTGTTTTATAAATATTACAAGAGTAGATTTCAATCGAGTCAATGATTTTTGTATGCAGAACACAGAGATTTAATTTATCCGGAACTTGGCACTTCATGATATTTTCATACTGCTGCTATCCTTGGATTGACACGACGCAATATCATTCGAGAGAAGGAGGGAGATTCATAAACGTATATACTATACGTATACAGTCCATAACAATCTTTTTATTCGTATCGCCAAAAGGATTGTGAGAAATTAAAAATAAATATTGATTAAGGCAGAACATTATGTTTCTACATGAAAAACTTATACTCCCATTGAATATAAAAGAATTAGGTTTTGAACAAATCAGAAATTTCTCGCGAAAAGTTAGAAAAAATCATATGAAAAAATGTCAAGTTGCATTCTATAATAATTTTATTTATGATAACATTTTAACATCATTGAACACTCTTATAACACAAACTATACATATAATACGTAACGTAAGGATTATTGATCCACTATTATTAAAAACGAAAATGTATTCTGATGAAAATCAAAAGTTATTCTGAAATGTATTTAACTATGAGTGCTTCTCATTTGGTGACATAAATAAAAAAACAGATAATATTCTATTTTTGTTATCTTTTGAATTTCAAGAAAGATAAATTGATATTTGTGTCGACTTGTATTACTAAATGGAAAGTATTCTATATCGCTATGTAATCTTCTTGAATGAATATGTGAGTGAATGAGAGAGTGAGTGAGTGAATAAGAGAAAGAAGATTTCCTATAGATCCACACTTTAATACAATAAGTAATGTCCTAAAAACATTTAGAGAAGAAATGTAGGGATATTCTCAGAATGTTTTTAAGACATTCCTTGAAGATCTATGCTGTTTGAGAATATATATAATAACCCTAATAACTTTATCCGGGCTACATCCTGGGGATGTCCTTAAGATGTTCAAAGGACATACGGACATCCTTTGAACGTCCTCAGAAGGTCTATGCTGTTAGGACACACATATATAATTAATAAATGGATACTAATAGGCATTTCTCATAGAACTTGATGCGAAAGAATGAAAAAAAATTATTAATCATCGCTAATTACCTGCTTTTGTTTCTACGCGGCACTATGTATTCGTTACACGTATTTGGTCACACTCAACAAAGTCGTCAGTAACTGCCACAAGTTGCCACGATACTGAAACTATTGAAAGTTGCCTGCTGAAATCATGCAACACTTTAGCAGCAGTATAGTATAGTTGCTGTTCTGACGTTCTCGAATAGAGTGTGAGAGAGAGAGAAAGGGGAAGAGAGAGAGAGAGAGAGAGAGAGAGAGAGAGAGGAAAAGAGAGAGAGAGAGAGAGAGGAAAAGAGAGAGAGAGAGAGAGAGAGAGAGAGAGAGAGAGAGAGAGAGAGAGAGGAAAAGAGAAAGAAAGAGAACAATAAACGTGACAAAGACATCAATTGGGAGGAAGGTCACACGACAAAGCATGCAAAGAAGGGATATTAAAATTATATTAGTTCAGAAAAAATAATAACGTGTATATATATAAATTTTATGAAAAGTGCTGCAATAATAATAATATTTTATATTTTATATTTATTTTATATTTTATATTTATTTTATATTTATCGATTACATTATTCATCCATATACATATTTTATAATATTCACACATTAATAAAAATTGTCACTCTGACACTTTCTTTACACTTCATAATACTTATTTTTTCAATTTAGCATGTAACAAAAAAGAAACTGTGTGTGAAATCAAAAATCTTCTTAAAGATGAAATTATTCTATTCTTAATTCCACATGATTTTTAAATTAATGTTCGAAATTTCTTTAGTTCATTTATCGATCCTATAAAATAAATTACATATTGAAAAAAAAGAGAGATTATTCAAATTGAATTATTTAGATTGTTATTCTTCAGCTGTTTATACAAAGAACTCTATAATATTATTGTACATACATATGTGTTTGTATGAGTTGTAATTGGTTGTAATAATTAGTATAAATTAAAGACGGTTTGATCCTAGGCAAATGTTTGTAATCTAATAGAAAAGAGCCCAGAGATAATTGAAGAACAGTGACATTATCGACAATTGATATAAAATTGTAATTATTTTAACATATAAATATTTGGATGATACATTATTAAATTCATGATATTTTTTATTATATAAACGTTCCATAAATAAGTACTTGTAATGCTATAATATATTATCTAGGCTTATATATGGCCACAAAATTACAATTTTTTCTCTCTTACATTTATTATCATCTCTATTGATAATCAAACTCGGATGATAACACTAAATCATGTTATATAGTTTTAAATAAAAATCAAGTATTAATCAAGTATTATTGAGTTTTAAATATATAGATACATATTTACAAAACTCATAAAATTAGTACTGTATTATCAGTTTCTTACATTTTTAAATTTGGACAGTACGTGAACTTCTATAAGGCCGGGTGTTTTTAATAGTTTTGTTCTTTTTGGCTGAACTTTTGCACCAGTTCAATTTTCTTCCTTTTTTCTCTAGAAAGAAAGAAGAGGAAGAAAGATGAACTGGTGCAAAAGTTCAGCCAAAAAGAACAGGTCTAATAACTGACAACACTTATGATCATCGTTTGTCGTTGTTTAACATTTGACAAACAAGGATGAAATGATTTTTAAGCGTGGAGCGTGAACAGGACCGCGGCCGAGGTATGTCGTGTTATTTGCACTTTTTGCACTTAGTGTCTTTATTCTCTCTCTTTTCAATGGTTGAATATATATTTATCCCATTTTAAGTGCAAACATTTTTGGGAATGTCAAGCAATGCAACAAACCTAGTATCTCATCGACGATTATCGATGATCAAGTGATTCCTTCGCGCAGAGCTTAACGGAGATTCAAATATGATATATAATTGACTTGATTATCGGGTATGCAATTGTGTAGCTACGTAGTTCGGATCAACGTTTTATGAGTGTAGCTGGCATCATTGATTGTCCTGATTGTTACTTGTTGTCACCGGTTGGATTGGTGTACTCAATTTCAGCTTCTTCTCTATTTTTGATATGTTCAGTGTAATATTTATTGGATACGTTTTTTCACAAGTTTCCTTAAATTTTAGACTAAAATGTCGAAAATGAATTCGAAAGATAAAGACAACAAAACATTGCACGATAAACTCAAGCAATTTTTTCGCATAAATAAGGGTAAACGTATTACATTTCGAATATCTCGTATGTCGCAAGTTGCACATTCGGTCTGATATTTATAATTATATCGATCGTCTTTTTGCAGGAAGTTATAAGAGTCGCGAAGAATTCACTTTGACTTATGATATCGAAAAAGAAATTAGTCCAGACAGTCCAGTGCATCATCGTACGAAAGCGATTAAAGAGCTTCGTGACGCAGTGCTCAATCAACAGTGGGAAGATGTATATATATATTCTTATCTACATTTATCTAAAAAAAACTACAGAGTGTCAATCCAAATGTATAAGTATAAAAGATCAGACAAAAATAATGCTTTATGTTTAACTTTTTTTCTATTTGTTTCTAATAACAGAGAGCGGCTGAACGTTTATGGAATTTAGTTCAAGACTTACTAGGAAAGGATGTTCCTCGCGAACATAGGCATTTAACCTTGAATTTTTTAAAATGCCTTGTACAAGGACAATATTCTAAACTTTCATCATTGATGCGTGTAAAATTTTTCATGGTGGTGAAGGAATATGATATTCCTGAAGATATTGGTCCTAGGTTTGACAAGCAATATTCATTACTTTATTTTAACTATTGCTATTTTGTCTCTATCATTTTTTTGATATTTCAGATTGGAATTGTTACAAACATTAACAGAACATGGGAAAGATATTTTACATTTGGAAGAAAGAATGGGTCCTTTTCTATTAGAATGGATGCCTACAGTAACAGCAGGAGATGGGAAAAGAGGAGCTGAATTTTTGTCTCTTCTTGTTAATGTTATCAAATTCAACTCTGCTTACATCGATGAAGATATTATATCTGGTCTCGTCCAGTAAATAAAAATCATTTTCTTTTTCTAATAATAAGTAAAATTACTTATATAATAAGTTATCATAATTTTTCCAGATATATTTCTCATTTGTGTTATTATAGTAATAATACCGAAGTTGTTTCTGGATGTTTGGAAGCTCTCGATGCAATTATGTGTTATAGTAATTTGCAATCTGACTCGTTGCAAACCTTTATTATAGCCTTGTGCAGAAGTGTAAATGTTGAGACTTATTGCCAAACAAGTTGGAAGGTACAATAATATTTAAATGTGTTCAGAAACATGTAAAAATCTTTTTCTTTATTGATTATTTACTACAAATAGATATACTACATTTATTTATACATATAAGTGATATACATTCTATACTGTACTATATATATATATAGTATTGGGTTGTCCGGAAAGTTCGATGCCGACTAACCTATATAATTTAATAAATGTATACTAAAATTTAAATCTTTTGCGTTTTAATTTTCCTTCAACATCGGCATGAACTTTCCGGACAATCCAATATATGTAGAATATGTATAGTATATATATTATACATATTTATACATATATTTTATACAAATAATTTTCTTTTAATAAATTTAAAATGTGTATTACATATGTTCTAAAATTAGTAAATAAAATATGGAGTATATACATATATTATATACTCTATTATACATTATATATGGTTTTACAGATTATGCGAAATTTATTAGGAACACATATGGGTCATTGTGCTTTATATACAATGTGCCGCTTGTTACAAGATACTAACTTTCAACGTGATGTTCGTCTATTACGAGGTGCCGTGTTTTATGTAAATATGGGTTTGTGGGGTACGCATAGAATACCAAAATTAGAATGTACGCCAGCATCTGTTTTACCTTCGTTCTATCAAGTATGTATACACATCTGTTTTACCTTTATTTTATGAAGTATTGATGCATATGTATACATACGTGCGATATTAGATATAATAAAATGTATGATGACTCTGTACATTAACAGGCTCTACAGTGCAATCATCCAATTGTTATGTATGAAGTCACCTTATCAATACAAAGATTGGTGAATAAGTATGGTAATGAATTATGGGATCCTACATGGAGCATCATTCTTGATATCATAGAAGAAATTATTACTCACACTGGTAAAGCTTATTAAAACTATAATAATATATATTTGTTGTTATTATATACATATGTATATATAATAAAATTATGATTTTTATGCATTGTTTTAGAAACTAGTAATCAGCCAGCAACCAAACAGGTTTCTACGAGTTTACATGAGACGATGACTAATATTGAAAGTTTACTTGATGCAAACAATTATAACGGTTGCGTACAACGTTTTTATGATCTTGTTGAACGTTGTAGCGATTCTCGACCTGTAAGTGCATATAGATTCAAAATAATGTAGGTGAATGTTTCTAAATATTATTTTTTTATTTTTAGGAAGGATCTGTATTAAAATTAATTGAATACAGAGCTTCTATGATAGGTCCTACATATTATCAATGGCAGACCAAATTAGGATCTTTGATGGAACGTTACTATAAAATTGAAACACGTACAACCATTAGAATGAAGGTTTTGGATGTTCTAACTAATGTCATTTATGTTAATAGGTATTATAAATCTTCTTGATTTAATAACACTGCTGCGCTCTAACTTTCTCTTATATTCATATAGATATGTATATATTATTATAAACATCGCTTATATAGGTCTAGATATGAAGATGAGCTTATTGAGCGAATAGTTGTACCATACACACAACATGTGGATGTAGATCCAGATATTACAATACGCACTGTCACAGCAAATTTATTAATAGATCTTTGTTTGGAATGTGATACTAAACGATGCATAGAACTTTTAGATATACTGGAAAAGGTATTCAAATTACTTAAGTACAAAAATGTGTATATGCATTTATAGTGAGATAATTTGTTTATTTTAGATAATCAACAAGCCTTTCACATCAGACACTCCAATATCTATGGATGCCGATATTAAAGATGTAAAAACTGCTGTTGTTGGAGTTATAAAGATATTTACTTCTAAAATTTATCGTTTACCATCGAGTCATGCAATTTGTGCTTACAAAATTTTAGTGAATCATCTTGAGCAACATTACAAAGATCCCTCAGTTTTCCATGATGTATCAACAACACGTTATTTGGTAATTATTTTGTTAATAGGCTAAAACTTATAAA